TCGACGGAGCGCGGGATCTTTGGATCACCGGTTGATCCGAAACTTTTTCAGAAGGGACCTTTAAAGTGTTAGTTCCCACGTGTTACATCCACCTGCGTGAAAAGTAGAAAACGCGACCCGGTTACGGTTTCTTTAAAAGGAAATAATAATAATAGATTATACGATGAAACGTATTTATTATTTCTCCTGTACCGGTAAATGACAATGGACGAGTCGGAAGAGCGTACCTTCGCTTTCACGTCAACTTGGCTAATACATTGCTAGAAACGCAACAGTTCGCTAGAACTTCGAAACACTGTCTCCGATTCCATGGAGGCGTTGAAGTCTCCATGAAAGTTCCTTCGAAAAATTCGATGAACCTCTGTAAAATTTGAGGCGGCAATGACCGATGCTCATCATGGAATGCAAGATGTTAATTAAGAATTTAAACTTCCAGTTTGATGCGTTATATCAGTGGATCTCGTGATAATGTTATTGAAAGATTTGATTGTAAAAAAATGTGGTAAAAAAGCGACGTGACCGATGACCTGGCATGGCAATCGACGTGTTAACAGTAAACAGCGAGGATACGTCGCCTATCATTCCATGCTTCTTTTAACCACCCTTCTTCTCCCACTGGTCCGTGCCTCCACCCACCCACCCCCGTCGATGGGGTGTGCACACGTAGGTACAATCGATTGCGTCTGCCAAGCTTTTACGCCGGGGAGAGAAAACCGGCGAATCGACAAATTCGACGCGGCGCACCCCCGTCTCCGAGGAGGAGGGAGGGGTCGTCGCTCACCACCGGCCCCGTCCATTTATATCCTCCTTCGTTCTCCTCTGTTCCTCAACCACCACCACCAACACCGCCGCCACCAGTCACCAGTCTTCTTCTATCCTCTACCTTCTCTCTTTTTCTATGTTTCTTTTTATTGCTATTTTCTTTTTTCTTCTTCTTCATCTTTTTTTTTTTTTTTTTATATTGCCGTCGAAAGACGAAGCACATCCCCGTTATGCACGATAAAAAGTTTAATGTCAGAGAAGACGTCGTGGCGATGGTGGATGGGTGGTGTTGGCGATGGTAGCGGTGGTGGTGGTGGGTCATGGAGGTGGCAGAGAAGAAGACGGGGTGTCGAGGGCGGGGGGAGGGGGATTGCAACACAGAGAGGTGGTCTGGAAGATTGTGAGTGTGAGAAGGGGTGTAGGCGCAGGTTCGACGGTGGAAGGGTGGTTCGGGGGGGTGGTTGAAAGTGCCCGGGGATCGTAATGACTCGATATGAAACCCGGGCAGTGCAATTTCTTTCTTCTTCTGCCCTTTCCTTCCTACCAACCCCCGCGTGCTCGCGCGTCTCGACGTCTTCCTCTTTTTTCATCGCAGTATTTCCCCATAAAAGCGGCCCGGCATAATAAAAAGCGTTATATAGCTGGCACTGAAAAGTAACGCGCCTCTTTCTTTCTCTTTCCTTATCTTGTTCAACCCGTGTACGTCTCTCTTTCCCTCTTTCTGTCTGACTCGGCCGCGTGTGGGTGGAAGGGTGGCGGTACCGGAGGTGGGTGAGGTTACCCACGTACACGAAGAAACAGATACGACCGGGCATAAGGTCTTTTACGGCCTTATTTGCGGAGACGTAAAAATCGCGAAAATCAATACGGAACTTCTAACATTAAATATTCAGACTATCGGCTGGGCGGGGCCGCGAGAGAGGCCAGACACTCTTTCGTACCTGAGAGTGTTCCTCCGCTTCCTTCATGGGAAACCATTCTTCCGCGATCGCGATACGATCTCGCGTTGACTTTCAACCAGGGGCGAACCACCACCACCTTTCCACGACCATTCAAAGAAACTTTTCGTCCACCTGTTTCCCGTCCTCGTTCATTGTCCCGAGGAAAATTACTGTACCCAATTTCGACGATTATAATTGGGATTGTTTAACGCGTCGAATACCGCCGCGATGACCAGCGCCCAGAAATTTAACACAATTCGGTAACAAAGTTCAACGCGTTAATGTTCCCTTTGAATAATCGGTACGTCTCCCGAAATACCGGTATAGATATTATCACGGTAAAACAAAGGTTTCGACAAATCGTTTAAATCGAACAAATTTCCTCTCCGTTCTTCCCTCGATCGCGTTGCTGTAATTGTAATCCAGGATAGAACGACTACACGAATTTCCTTCCGGATTTTACATTTTTATTTCTATGAAATGTAAACCCAGGTCCATAAATCGTGCGCTCCCCCTTTTTTTTTACTTCGTATTCAGTTTTTCTTCTTTTTGAAAAATATTTCTTTCCTTTTCTCCTCTGCCGTTATCAGTCCCCGGTTTCTGTATCGACTCGCGTACAACCACGTATTCGCGTAATTCCTTGAAAATTATTCTACGAAATAACAATGGAATTTTACATGCAAGTAAAATGAAGCAACTGAATGCACATTAATTCGTGCCACGGTATTCTTCCATTTGGAAAATAATAAAAGGAAGAAAAAAAAAAAAAAATAGCCCGTTTCGTTTTCGCAACGAATCATTTATTCCTTAAGCTTTTAAACGTAGCTACACACATATCCCAGACCAGCTCGATTTGTTTCCCCTTTATTCTCCATTTTTAGAACAAATGTTTTCGAATTACGACTCTTGCATTACAGTTAAAACGAAGTGTATCGAATCGTTCGATTTCCCCGCGATGAAACAATTCAACCAAATTGTGAGCGTCGAATTTGATTGCCGGTTACAGAAAGAACGTCGAATATTGCGCTTTTCCCTGGAAATAATTGCTCGGTTAAAGCGTTAATCGTTTCATATATCAAACAGCGTACCTTCAAAAGAAACGTTGAATATATATCCAGCCGAGCTCTCTCAGCGTTTTCGCTGATCGGTCTATACGTTCAAAATCGTTTTTAATCAGACCGAGCATCAAATATGCTATTCTTCTCGAAAAAAGCGTTAATCTCGTTCGTTATTTTACCTGTCTCGAATCGAAAGCATTATGGAAATTTCAATGTTTGTTAATCGTTTGTAGGAAAACTTATTTTCTACCTAGCCAGTGTCGATTGTAACGTGCCTGAAGGGGTATCTAATTAATTTACCTTTACGTAATACTTTTACGTAATTATACATCATTTTATCTTATTCTAATTACACTTTGAAAATTAGCGATTTTGCAGGAAAAAATGCTACAAGAACATAATTATAATATAAATTAGTTCGAATATTAAAAGCGATCGATCGAGATGCTTGCAATTTCAAGATTATCTTATCTCGTTCTTGGATAATTCTCAAAGTACCATAAGTTTTTATTGGCGGGAAGTTAAAGATAAATTTCGAACGAGGGAAGTACCAAACGCGTTTTACGACCAATAAGAAAATTTCCAAATGATTCCGTCGTCGTTTCATCGAACAATTCTCACCATAGTGGATATTGTTCTACGAAGTTTCTGCTGGGGATGAAAGTCGATGAAAATCATGGTGCACGTGAAATTACGTTGATAATGGAACGAAGAGTGTTTCGTTGACGCGGACGGGTTCGTGCGTCAAACGCATTTTATTCGCTCAAAATTCCGAGAACGGGGAAATCTGCAGCCTCCTTCGCCAACGAGGAAAGTCATTTTTCGCGTGACGAAACACTTTGAACGGATTTTCGAGGATCGTTTTCGAGGGAAACGTTGATTCACCGTCTGGCCATGTCTGATACGGCGATGCAATAAAACGGTCAACCTGATCAATTTAACGCGACAGTTTTATACACTGTTTAACAGTATGATATCGATATGTCGCCGAACTGAGTACTTAATCGACACCGAACGATCGTTTGAAACGTAGAAATCGCTAAATAAATGTCGTTCTCGTACGAAGCTTCGTTCGCGAGATTATATTCATCGTATAACCAGTTTGACGTAAAACGGAGGGAAAAATAAAAAATAAAGAAGAGAAGGGAATAGGATCGAACCGGTCGACAGGATACTGACAGAGGATACGTCGTTTATAAACGACGGTAAATAAAATCAGGATTGACAGAAATACAAGTCGCGCTTGATGCTGCTTAAGCACGTGGGCGTGTGAAGCTGTTCTTGAATCGCCTTAAGCTCGTATCACACTCGTCCGAGCTGATCGATTCTCCGATCGATCGCTATTTTGTTTTCATTTTCCTCGGCATTTCACTTGACAGTTCGAAATCAGAGCATCTTTATGAAATCTGAAGGAAATGGAACAGGACGATAACTCGGAAGACACTGATGCACTGTTCGCAATCAATGAAACGCGTATCGCGTCGAAGTAGATGCGCGATAATGAAATTTGCGAAACGAAAACATCATCTTTCAGCGCAATTATGTAATGAAAAGGAGAGAAAAAAAATCACGCTGGTCAGAGAGAGAAGCCTGTTCGTCGAGTGCTTCATTGACTTTCATGACAGATCTGCACGTGGTAGCCGGCTCGAGCGTCGAGCCGGAAATACATATTTTATCGGCGCTATTCGGAAGCGCCGCTTAAGAATTCGATCGTCTCTTGCGATCTACATTAGCACATTAATCACGTTTCGCGTGCACGCGTGTTTCTACAGGCTGTGTCACAATTCAAGTGAACGTAACTTTTGCTAAGGGTAAATGTAGGGTGAGGAACGCTCCTCCAGTTGGGGAGAATTTAGAGGAATCCCAAGGGAAAATATCTTCCTTCTTCTACGATTATGCGTACTTATTATGGTACACCCTGTATATCTGTAATACGTGTGACGCGGCAATTTGTTGAATAATTAAGAAAGATCGACGGGACGTCGCGTTAGGTACCCTTATCAAAGTCGGTGAATCAACGTTTGCCTGGCTCTTTAATTTTCGACGTCCTTGATTTTCTCCTGTTAAGTACATTGAACTGAAATATTTGTCAAGGACGTCGATCTACCCCGTGTAAACCGGTTTCCTCGTTGTAACAGTCGATTTTCAACGAGTATCGAAAGTTTCGATGTATCGCGATCGTGTTCCACTTCGTTAACTCATCCTCGTTCGTTCTTTTTTTCCCCTCCGTGTGTTCCAGATGGTTCTGTCGGCGTGCAGCACATACTTTGACACAATTCTGTCTCAGTACGAGGAGATGCACCCGATCGTCCTCATGCTGGACGTGAAATACTCGGATATCAAAGTTCTGGTCGACTTCATGTACAAAGGAGAGATCAACATCGATTACGTGAGTGAATTTCTATTTATTTTTATTACGAATAGTTTACGATGCGACGGGATCGTTGGTGGATGAAAATGAAAAGCTGGTTAAGGAAATAAAGCCTCCGGAAACGTAGCTCTTTGGTCGGTTTTAGAGGCTCGATAGAAGACTTATTTACATCGTGGACATTATGAGGGCACTCGTGTCCCGTTGGCTAGGGGAAAAGTGTCGCGGGGAAGCGGTTGGCCTCAATTTATTAATAATTGAAGACCTCGTGCTCTTCGAGCCATAGGACGCTTCAAAGCGACCCGCAGTTTCCCATTAATCCAGCCCAGCCCACCATTTTCTCCCTTCGGGGCAAAAATCGTCGCGAAGATGCAATTTGTTTTCCCGTCAATCGTTTCTTTTCCTCCTTGTTCGGTCGTCGAACGAAAGGCACCGCTTTGTGCCGATCGAGCAGAAGTAGAAAAATCGAATCGGTTAATTAACGATTGATAGAGAAGTGGAAACGTTTGAAGGCTGTTCAACTACTCGATAAAAGTCGAAGAGAAACGGATGCTTGTACAATACGCGTTTTCTTCTTTGACTGCTACACTGAATCGCTTGATTCTTCTCTTTTCAGTTCGATTTAATCGGATACCTTCGATTTTACCTTCAACCTTCTTCACTCTTAATAGATTTGAATCTTCTGTATTAGTCAGCTTGTAATTAACTTCATCTTTGTTTTTTTTTCGTTCTTTTCTTTTCCCTTGCACAGAAACGGATTAAAATTGTCGAGTTTCTGCAGCGGTTCGTTACGATGTTTTGCAAATGTCTCTTAATTATACGAATCTTTCGAAGTAATTGATTGAAACGGATAGTTGGACAGATATTTACGACTCGACAGTCAGCTGGAACGTTACAGTTTGCAGGAATTGGATTTAGGCTAGAAAGAGGATCTCTGAGAACGGCAATTTCTTATTCTTCCGTCTTTCTATTCGTGATCAAACGGTCAGGTTCGCGAGCTTTCTCCGACCACGTTTTTACCTGCGAAAAATCCGGCTACGGTGAAAATGAACGCACTCCCTCGTGCATCACGCGGAGCTCCGATCGATTGTTATTCACCTGAATCGAATTTGCATTATCCGCTCCTATCCGTGTGATTTCCTTTTTTTTTTCTATTTTATTTTTACGTTTCCGCAGTCGAAAGCTGGCGCAAGATAAAACCGGTCAAAATTAAAATTTCAGCAAGAAATGAAACTAGTCGTCGAAGAATTTATTAAAACTTAAATAATAAAATACATTATTCCCTTTGTTGTTTTTATTCCAAAAGCGGGTTTAGGTTTTAGGATCGATTCCGTAATAGAAACCAGGCGTTACCGAGAAAAATCGGATCGTATCAAATTTAATGTCAAATGCAAATCAGAGATTCTCACGACTTTCCAACCGTTTCTTTTTTTTTCCCTTTTCTTTTCTTTTATTTTCGTTCAATATTACTGCGAGAAGAAACGAAAGCGTACTCGCCATTTCTGAAATGTACACATTATTCCCGGGAGTGCGCCGCCGGAGACGCTGACCCACATAAGCATTTTTCCAATTCCGTTCGTGGCCGATAGAAAGCCGCGTGCACCGCGGCGACGACGGTGTTTGTAGAAAGTTCTCAATATTATTTAGCATTCTCTCGGTTGGTCTGGCATTATTGCGGTGAAAATTGGCAAATAATAATCGTTGGACCCGCCAGTTTCTGCCAATGCGTTCACCCAGCTGCCGTTCGCGACCCCGTTGTTCGATATCGATCTTCAATTTTTTTTTATTTTTCATTTTTTTTTTTTTTTTTTTTTCATTTTCCATCCCTCTTTCACGAACGAAACCGATTCATTATTCGCTCCCTCGAGTGAATCCTCGGCCGAATCGGACACACGAGTTTGCCGGGCAAATTGAAGCGGCCAGGATTAATGGAATTACTAATTTTTACTCTTACCGCACGATCGCTTTTTCCTCTACCCTTTTTTTTCCCCCTCTCCCCCGCCATTGCCAGCTGCCGAGATAATTAGATTTATCCGGGTGTGCGAGCAGTTCCGAAGATTTCTTACCGTTCCGGGTGTTAGCGATATTAAAAATTCACTTGGTGTAATATATTTCTAATGTACCGATGGACAAGAAAGATTTTCATAGTCGTATCAAAGGAAACCACCCTCGCGCGTTGAATAAATCTTTCCGGCTGTTGGCACCGCCTGATTAAAGTCGATCTTTCATTGCAGACGAGATTGTCGTCTCTGTTGAAAACCGCGGAGAATCTGCACATCAAGGGTCTGGCAGAGGTGAGCTGGCGTAACGATTCCACGCAGAACGAAATGAGCAACAGCGGTCACAGTCCCGGCGCGGCAACGCCAGGCGTCGAGACGGTCCTCAGGGAAGGAGACGCCGACGAGCCGCCACCCCCAAAACAGAGACGCAGAGGTCGTCCGCCTCTGGACGATCCACCCTCGGCTCACGATGTGTTCACACCGAAAATCACCTGCATCACCGGAAATGTATGTCAATTATATGCAATTTATTTGTATAGATATTCGTACGAGATATTAGAGAAAAATTAATATAGTTCGTGGCTCTCGGGGTAGTATTTTTTATTTTATCATCAATAATGTTTCGGTTATATCGAAAGTTAGTATCTTCAGGGTTATACAGTAAGTAATACAGTAAGTTAGGATATTACATCGATTGCATTCGACGCTCGTCAGAGGCACATTTCCTCCCTGCGACGTGTCCAGTTAAAATCTGTTCGATTTCCCAGGAGGAAATGATGAGCGAGGGCGGTGACCATGAAAGTTGGGACGACGAGATGATGATGAACGAGAATAACGAAACGCCACTGCCGGTGGTAAGACATTTATCTCTTAAATCGCGAATCGTTTAAAAAGTCCGTTTCAATTAACCAGCTTCCGTCACGTTTTCCAGCTATCATACATGTCCAAAGACGAGAACATATCCGACCAGGAAAAGAAAGGTAGGCTATGGATTGAAAATCTGAATTGTACTTTTAAAATGATATTTCTGAAATTTTCCAAGAAAGGAATAGTGGAATATCGGAAATGGAATTGGGTTTCGGACAATGTTATTGAACCTTATCGAATATTAGGGTACGTAGATATAGGCGCGAAGAATGTAACACGGTTCGATTTTGCTGCAGCGCCTACCACTCCCTCGAATTCCAACGCCACGAACCTATCGATCCCCGAGCAATTCCGAGACGTCGTGAAGATGAACGATTACCTGACGACAGGACGCCGCCAAGAGTTCTGGGAGGAGCCGTTCACGCGACGCGTTATGGATGCCATTAAGAGCAAAGAACTGGAAATGAAGACTGCCGCCGAGATACTTGGCGTGTCCTACGGAACCCTCTATGGCAGATATCGCGACAGTTATGGTTGCCTTAAACATCCGTATAGGTAAATGGAAGAGACACCACGAAATGCTTTTCTCCGTTCTTGATTGCCTTTTGTCGCGACCGGTTATTGCTGCATCCTTCGCGTTTTACGAGCACAGACCGAATCTTCCCTCGGCCGCGTCCCACTTTAACACGATTGTAACCCGCGTCTCTCACTTTATTCGTTAGTTGGGAATCTTCGTTTCGCTTCGAATTATCGTTCGATTTTTCCTCGCGACGAACATCCCGACCCTGACTTTGGTTTTTTCGCAAACCGCGTTTGTTCGCAGAGTAAGGGATTTCTGGTCCGAGCCAGGCCCAGCGGAGGTGTTGGCGAAATTACGAAGGAAAGAGATCACGTTGTTCCGCGCGGCCGAGTTCCTCAATGTGACCGTCCATACGTTGGCCACCTATCTGTCGACGCTTCAGGGTCCGGACAGAATCTCGTTGGCCGGTGATCTGAGCGTCGCGGCCAGCACGGTTGACGGTAACAACGAGGCAATGGAGAACAACGATTCGATGAACGACATCCTGCAGAAGATCAACGCGAACGTCGCTACGACCACAGGGACACCGACCACATCGACACCGATCAAAAGGGAGGGCGGTGGTTACATCGAGGTACCTACACCGGTACCAAAAGCTGCCACCTCTGTGCTGGAGAACAATCCTGACATAACGATCGTCAAGACGGAGAACATGCCTCGTAAACGGGAATACACGAAAGTCTCCAACACGGAGAACAACAACGCGAAGCTGATGAGCGGAGGCGCGGTTAGCGAGGTTACGCAACAGCAGCAGCAACAACAGCAACAGCCGAAGATCACCGATCCGTTGTCGTTAAACAACGACAACAGCAAACCCTAACTATTCAGGCCTTATCTGCAACCGGCGAATCCCCGTGCACCGAGCGCTAGCTACAGATCCCACCTGTGCCCAGACCTGCGCAGATTCTATTCGAACGTGTTTACCCGCTTTCTCACCAATTTCCATTTGAAATAGAAGGTGGTATCACGTGTTGTCCCGTGTAGAAATTCTCGTCACCGTCAGCCAGAGCCCCTCGCTACCTGCCGAGATACCTTTAGACAATCTCGCGTCGAACATCGTCCCGTGGCATTGGCTGAATCGTTGCATCGAGACCAGAGGATGAAACGTCGCCGTGACGAGTAACCGGTGGATTATCTAGAGGCTGATAACCCACACGAGGACACTCAGCGTCGGTACTTCGACGTTGCGCTGTGTCGAATCCAGGAATAAAGAAAAAGGGAGGGGTGATCCGTTCATTCCGATCGGTGCCTTTGGATCCGCCTGGATTCTCCCGTTGCGCCACCACCGATTCATCGTCGGTCGTGTTGAACCACATACAGGAACAGAGAGATAGAGTGCGTTTGTCCGAGCTATAGAGAACAACTCCTTCGTAATGTTAGTACCTAGCGATATACGGTTCTTCGTTACTTCAAAATTGGTTCGCTTGATCCGAAACGAAACAGTGACTAAAATTAAGTGGCAAAAAAAGAAAGGAAGAAGAAATCATGATGGATGAAGAGGATGAAGAGAAATCGTGTGTAATAAAAAAAAAAAAACAGTTCAATCGAAGTTCCTTTTGAATAACGATGTAGGGTGTATCGCGAAAAGAATGCCTAGACTATTTTCTGCCGCATGTGTCTGTATGGTAGCACGTAAAAAGCGACAATATTATTCACCCGTAGACCCATGGGTATAGTGATCCCAGAGTGACAAGTCCTTCGAGAGATAGATGTTTCTCGTGCGATCGTCGTTTTTAAACAAAGAAAGAAATAAACAAAAACTTGCACTTCTGCAAACGGGAGCCTTAAATCGTTCGAGCGTATTAGGGACGTTTTACGCACGCGTTCGCCGACGAGATTATTAATTTGTACTGTATATCTATTATTCGTTTATTTTTTTTTTTTTTTTTATCGTGGCACGCTTTGCCAGTGTCGTAGGATGTTCTCGCGAGGAATCTTTAAACCGAATCACTTTTGTGAATCATACGTGAAACGTTCAAATTTTTGGATTCTACGCGCGAACAGAAAGAAGGAACGGTACAATTTTATGTTCTTCTTATTTTCTTTCTTCACGCTCACTGTCTTTATCTCTTTTTCTTCTGTGTTTATTGCACGTAGAGATATATATATATGTATATTTTAGAAACATTATTGAATTTATACGCGCGAACTTTCTTTCTCTTTCTCTTTCTTTCCTTTTTTTTTATACTTAGACGTTTTATTAAGGAAATTTTATTTAAACGATGATTGCTGGATATCGATGTCAAAGATGATCTATCTCGAAACGAAGATATATATATATATATATACACGCATAAACGTCCATTGTAAATATTGGTGCAATAGTAAGACCTAAAAAGGGGGAAAAAAAAAATGAAAAAAGTTGATCTTATTTATCGCGAAACGCGCGCGCGCCTTTAATCGATATTTTAAATGAGAAAGAAACGAAGGAGGAGCATGTGCTTTTTTTTTATAACGTCGTGCAATTGCGTTCGGGTCTTTTGCTTGTAAATTTGATAGGCAACCGAGGGAAAACGGAAAAAGGGAAAAGAAAGAAAAGGTATCCTTGCGATTTTCCGCAACTTTTAAGTTGTCTCTCGAAAATGAAAAAAAAAAATGAAGAAGAAGGCGAGAGGAGATTCCGTACGTGCGTTACAATTTAATTTAAACCGTACTCCAGGAAGCACTGTTTCTTTTATTTTTCGTTATATATATATATTTTTTTTTCTTTTTTTTGACTGGAACAAATATGAGTATTCCTGTTCGCTGAAGAAGAATGACAAAGCAAAAAGGAAGAAAAAACCCACTAAGTAAGAAGAACTAATAGTATAGTAGAGGTATTCACGATATTGATATTTTTCGACGATATAAAGACTTAGTTACGTTTGAGAGAACTCATATTGCGCGCGAGAGAGAGAGAGCGAAAGAGAGAGAGAGAAGGGGGTACTTGTAAAGTAATCTGAGGTACGCGTAATTATTAAAATAACAGACAAGAGAAGAACGAATCTTCGACGAAAGAGGATGGGAATGGTAATGTTGAATGGAAGTGTGTTGTACATACAAAAAACCGTAGATTATAATAGAATGGTGGAGTGTGTGAAAAAAAAAAAAACGCGAAAACACTGAGAATGTTATATATATATATATAGATATATATATCTATACATACTATACATATTCCTTATTCTCTAGAGGAAATTCTAAAATCGACTGACTATTAATGATAAAAAAAAAAAAGATGACGTTTAACAAACGATAAATTGCTCCGCGTGCAAGTGCAAGAGATAGCGTTGTACGTTTAAAGCGCGGAGTCGAGTAGTATTTTCTTGGAAGAAAAAAAAAAAAACAAATTGTAATCTATTTTGCGTTATACGGTTATTTCTTATTTTTTTGTTAATAAGCGAATGTATCGTTTTTTAGGCCGTCAGACCCAGAAGAACCGGAGGATCTCTCTCTTGATTACTTTACGAGTGCTCTGTACCGACCACTTTTTATTTTTTACCACGTATAAGTAATATCATTTTATTGCGATAACTTTGCACCGTTCAATGTAATGTACGTTTTCTTTATTTTTATTTTTAATTCGTGGACTATTCGAACGCCATCGAGAATGTAGATCTGTTTTTCATCTAATTATTTTTTTTTTTTTTTCACTTCGTTTAATTTAACCATCGTCAAATTTACCATTGTGTCTCATCGAACATATTTTTGTATTAAGACTCTAGTAGCTTTTTCTTCCTCGTTCATTATCATTATTATTATTAGTTTCTTATCTCTTTTATTTTATTTTTTTTTTTTCGTTTTAAGTAAAATAAGACTAAGACATACCAAATGAGAAATGTAAGGACAAGTTTTTGTTAGGTTAGTACTAAATATCGCATATCAAGAACGCAAGAATACAAAAATGCGGCTGAAGCACTCTTGTATTTGCCTATGCATGTCCCGGTGTTAAACGTGGCCGGGACGCACGAGGAGACCACTTTTACTCTAGCAAGAGTATACGACTAGAAGTATTAATATTTAATATTAATAATCAACGCGGATTGTCCAGAATGGATGGTCATGTTTTTGAGGATCAAACGTCGAGCCACATTGAACAAAAAAAAAAAAAGAAAAAAAAAGAAAGAACAAACAAATAAGAATGAATGAAAAAGAATTCAGTTTTCCTATTTCTCGGTACTTTGTTTTCGTTTTCTTTTTTTTTTTTTTTTTTTAAATTATTAATCGGCTATTGATCCTTGGAAAATTTCCTACTTCTTCTTTACCGTCCATAAGGACACCAAGTTACAACGCGTGTAGCCTATTATTTTTTTCTCCCATTTTCCTTTTATAACGCCTCTTTTATCTGAGACACGATGATTGTTTTTTTTTTTTTTTTTAAACCTTCTTCGCAAGAGTACAAATCACAACGGTGGAATTTTTTTTTTTTTTTTGTTAACCCTCTCGGTGCCGCGGACATCAGCGTCGAGAAGTGTTCTTCCGTCTCCGGTACTGAAAGGGTTAACGGTTATCATCGAGACGATTAAACGAAGTTGTCGTTTCAGTTTGTTTCTTTTTTATGCGCTTCGTTTTCTCTAGTTTCTTATATTATTTTTAACCCTTTCGGTACGACGGCACGTTAATCGCAGTGGCCGAGAACCAACATACTTAAACTTTCAGAATTACGACACGATAGGAAATTATTATCGAATATATTTGTTACAGCAGTTTATATATTGCAACAGTTGTCAAGCGGAAATGCATATCTGAATGTAGCCACTGTAATCACCGCTCAGACATACAAGGTGTCCCGTTATTCTATAACCATTGATGATATAAAAGAATTTTTACGATAAAATAAGGATAAATGTTTTTTGAAAACGAATCCTTTTTTATGTTATTATTTTTAGAGACTGTTACTTCAACGTAGACACCCTGTATGCGAGGGTTAATTATTTATAATATAATAAAAATTCGACACAGAGTTCGTTTGCTGATTGCGTACAGCTAGGAACATAGATGGTTTTTCTCCAGTTAGGGAAACGTAGGGAGAGAAGAGAAAAAACGAGCGGTGAAATACTTCTTTATAACGCACGACGGATGCTGGAGCAATCTTTTATATTAAATTTTTATTTATTGAATATTTTAATTTTTTAAATTGTACTAATACAGAATAATCGAAAGGAAAATATATGTTTATTGTATAATTATTATTCTTCTCTTATACAATATAAAACCTACAATTTCCTTTTGGATTATCACGGTATCACTGAAGTCTTACAATCTCAACTTGGTGTAAAATAGATTGAAAGATTGGACCTTGTATGGGCCAGTATCCGCCGTACGAGGATAACACCTTTAATCCCGAACTGATCGAATGCATGAAGTAATATTACCTCATTGGGGTTGAAGGTGTTATTAGAGGGGAACTTACGTGCACCTGATTGTACAGTCGCGTGCATAGATGGCTTCCTTCAGTTAGGAAAAATTGTCAGAAGAGGAGTTATAAAGAAAACCATCCCCTTATAGAGAAAACCATCTATGCTCGCGACTATACAATTATAGAAACTTAGTGACAAGAAATGCTGCCATTGTAAATCGTGAAAGCATCAATGGCCATCGACCGTGGTGTCCGATAATGCTCGTACCGAAAGGGTTAACGAAGAGATGGCGCGTATGCGAAACCGTACGTCTCAAAGACTGATGGCCATTCATTTGGAGGTTCTTTTGTAATCGTAATCTCACACCGTGCGGTGATACGTCGACGATCACCCACGGTAAATCGACATTGTACGAGAAGACAGGACAAGACTAGCCTATTATTGGCGAACGATGATTTTGCCCGGTTCGTCCGCCGTGCGGGGCATCGTGCGATGAGACTAATACGAAAAAAAAGAAAAGAAAAGTAAAGAAAAAAAAAAAAAGAAAAACAGAAAAACAAAAACTCGATATCATAATTATGTGTCGTTTGATATAAAACGAAGTAACGAGTATAGTATGTATCATCGTTTTATACACAACCTAATTATATCTACGTACACTATGTACATTCCTAGTATACACTGTGTCACGTACACAAACATACACGTACACAAAACACAAGACGAATGATAAAGAAATGCATGGACCTATTGTATACGTGTACGCGCGCTAAGACGACGCGTGGTAAATTCGCGCGTGTACATACGAATGAACGCGCGCGCTGGGGACACATACACATATAAATATATTTATAATAATTATTATACATATACATATAAATATATATATATATCTATTCCAAAACGGACCATCGCGACATCGACGTACGAAGATCATTCAAAGAAAAAAGAAAAAAAGAAAGATACAATACAAATGGGATAGAAGAAAAAGGGGGGAGGGGGGAGAAGTACGATGAGGAAATCCTGATTGACGATACGGGCGTAATTAATTAATAATACAGTGAAACTTCATTTATAATGAAATAGGTTCAATTAGTTCTTTGCATTGCGATTGATTTTTCTACCGATCAAAGAAACTGAATAACTGTAGATTACTTTAATGTTTATACCGATTTCGCATTTGTTTAGTTCAATTCCATTTCTTTTTTTTTTTAAATTTTATTTTACGTACTAATTCCAATTTGAAAACTCATAAAAGCTTTCAAACATAATTCCCTCGGTAATCCTTTTTTCAATAAATAAATGAAGTTCTACTGTAATCGTCGTTGATTTAAATAAACGAGCATTAAAAATTTCATTGTTGGGTGAACAGCATCGCCATTGTCAGTGTCTCATGTATAACGAACGCAATCGAGTCTGTCAATTTTTCAGATACGCGGAAACCTCCGTTCAGGGGGTAGGTGTATACGTATACAAAATACGAAGAACAATGTAATAAAAAGAAAAATGATAAAAAAAAAAAAGATAAGAAAGATACGCGCATGTATAGCAAAAGAGGTTGTTACACTTGAGCACAATAGAAGAGAACAAAGTATAACGAGTAATGAATATAGTTTTACACGAAGGCTTTATCGCCCGTTTAGTTTTATACCTGAGACACGAAGAAAAGGCTGAAACGGTTAGGTGATAAAGAAAAGCAACAAACAAACAAGCAAACAAAACAAATCAATTTCGAAGTCCTTCTTATTCTTTGTTCTCGTCCTTTCTCTCTTTTCCACTCTAGAAGAGATCCGATTTTTATTTGACTTTTATAAATGGCAAATCATCGTACGTTCATTCATTTCATTCAAACTTTTTACTAATTTTATTTAACACGTTGACTGACGCAGCAAAGATAACCGTGTCAAGATAATATGGATCATTAAGGATATTAACACCTTATCTTCCGTTAGCGAATTAAATGGATAAGCACTATAGCTTTATAACTTAACAGTAATTAATTGGAAGGAATAATCTTTATATAATATTAAAGGCCAGTTTCTTATCGCAAATTGGTACAGGGAGTAGTAATATAAGTACTTGACCCTTGAATAAACATTTAATGAATACCAAAATTTTAATACACAACCACTGCCATCAAAAAGTCCATTAATGGCCTTCCGGACGGTATGGTGTTAAATCAAGTAAAATTTATTAATTTTCTTTTGACATAATTCAATTCTTCAGCTGTTCCAGTCAACGTGTTAACTTCAACCCTCGTATGACGAACAACTAAGGCAATCTTAATTTACTTTTTACTTCCCGGATTTTAGACTATTCCTTTTGATATCAATGTATAGAAGTATTTTGTTTAAAAATTTGTACGCTTGATTTTAATTAAATCGTCACGATTGACCTGGCTCGTCGTTCGAGGGTTAACACTCGCGTAGTAGGAAAAATAATCGGAGAACGGGACGACGTGTCCCGATTTCTAAAAATAAAAAAACGACGTCTTTTTCTCCGTTTCACGTAAATATGTCGTGTTTTTTATCTTAGCCAAAGTTTAGAATTTTCGTTTATCGTCGAATATTTCCTTCCGTGATCCACGTCCTATTCTATCTCTGTCCCACCTTCCTCTTCTTCTCTCTTCCGACCACCCTCTTTTTATCATTCTATCTTTTTTCTCTTTTACACGCATAACACAATGATGGACACAGGACACATATATGTTTGACATATTATTATATTTACTATTATTTTAATTATGATTTCCCAGAAGTATATATTATCTTTAATAATCGTGGTAATTTTTAGACTAGAAGAACAATATATTTAGCGGATAGAGATTAAAAAAAAAAAGTATACATAACGAAATAAATATATATATATAAATATATACATATACATATATTATATATATATATTATTGATGAAATATTGAGATCGTAATTAGAAATTGGGACGAACGCATACAATGCTGAAAGACGATAAACGGTATTTACGCGTAAGAGGGTGTTGAATGATGAAAAAAAAATAAAAAAAAAAAATAAAAGAAAATGGTCGAGCAGATGGATTAAAAGCGGACTTGACCTTACTTTTGGTCAAGCTGCTCGCAGAGAATATTCAATGATTGAACAGAAAAAAATAAATAAATAAAAAAGAAAAAATGGAGATCAGTAAATGTAAATGTTTGTAAACAAATTATGAAACATTATTTGTTCAGTGCCTACATATTTACACAGTAACAATAAAGATGAAGAATTAGTGAATACCCCTTTGTCTCTTTTCTACCAGAAATAAATTAATAAGTAAATTCTAAATCCCTACGCAGGAACGATACTTCGACATTTCGATTGTCAGGCATGCTTTATTGTGAGTGACCGCTTTTTTTGGAATATTTTTATAAAATCATTATACTTACAATTTGATATTAAAAAGAAACGAGCGAGAAACTGCGTATTTTTTTGCAGCCTAGAATAACTTACTTTACTCATTACTTGTACCCATTCACACGCTTAATTATATAATAATTCAATTGTAAAAACAAAACGCGGTCTTTGGACATGCCTTTGTTCTCGAAGGGTCATGATTTTAGTTGAAAAAGTATTAAAATAATTGTTTAACAAAATTGTATTTTAAAAAGATCGCCATAAATTAAAAATTTTTCCAATTCGATACCAGCGCCATCTATACAAAAACGGCTAAAACTATTCGACGACTTATCGACCGACTTTAGGGAAAATGGCGGTCTCAGCCAACGTAGGGAAAGGTGCCCCGCCACAAGGTATGATACCACGAGCCAGCAGACATCGTGCAACCGCCGAAGGGTGCGGATCTACCTGTCAAACATACGTATAACCTTATTTTATTTTCTGCGTTCGTTTAATTAGTTGTATTTATATTAAATAAACGCATTAGGGGATTGAACGTGCTGATTTTAATACTCCCTTATATTTCTCCTATCTCTTACATCCCAGCATCCCTTACATCTCTGCAACCCTTATACCCCTGCATCTCTTCGGCCAAACATTTCTTTTAGCTCACTTTTTCCAGTTATTTATTATTTTGTACCTTTCTATAGGCCAAAGCCCACCCTCTTTAGTTATTAATTATTTTATACTTCTGTATGAGCCAAAACCCATGTGTTTGGCATAGAGCGCCATCAGTAATTCGGGATCCTTGACACCCCTGGATATATCGATATGCAGAGCCAGCCCCTACATGAAGCTAGCCGGAAAGAATAATAAAATATGATTATCTTTAAACAAGTGTATGTCGTTTACAAAAATATCATTTTCATTGTTTGTGAGTGGACAATTTCTTAATTATTTACAAGTTTGTTTTATAATAAATAATTATACCCATCACTACCTCGAACAAGTGAGTTCTACGATTTGTTCGTTTTTCGTTCTTATATTTCGCTAGATCCGGTCAAACCCATCACTATTCCGAACAAGTGAGTTTCACGATTTGTTTGTTTTTCGTTCTTATATTTCGCTAGATCCGGTCAAACCCATCACTAGTCCGAACAAGTGAGATTCACGATTTGTTCGTTTTTAGGTCTTATATTTCGCTACTTTCTTGGGGTTCCTAACACCCCAGATGCAATAATGTCGGTATGCAGAATCACCGGAGCTCCGGGGTCCTCAGAACCCCGAGGCAATATAATTTAGGTATACAGAATCGTCGGTGCATCGGGGTCTTTAGAACCCCGAGACGATATAACTTTGGTAAGCAGAATCACAGATGCTTCGGGGTTCTTAGAACCCCAAGAGGTATAGTTTTAGTACGCAGAAACATTGGTACTTCGGGGCCCTTCGAAACCCCGCGACAATATAATATTGGTATGCAGAATCATCGGAGCTTCGGGGTTCTTAGAACCCCAAGACAGTATAATTTTAGTATGCAGAATCGGCGGTGCTACGGGGTCCTTAGAACCCCGCGACGATATAATTTTGGTATGTAGAATCATTGTAGCTTCGGGGTTCTCAGAACCCCAAAGCAGTTTAATTTTAGTATGCAGAATCGGTGGTGCTTCGGGGTCCTTAGAACCCCGCGACGATGTAATTTTTGTAACCTACATGAAGCTACCTGGAAGGAATAATAAATATGACAATTTTTAATTTTTCTGAGTGTATTTCGTTTGTACATCGTTTGTGATTGATTGTGAGTCTATTTTTAACATTTGTGACAAATTAATTCTTTTGTAATTAGCAATTTTATTTCAATCATGATGTGAGCCGAAACTTTTTACTAATTTTTTATGATAAACAGATTTTGTGATAACTGATAACTGTAATTGATTGGAAATCGTTTGTGGGTTACAAATATATCATTTTCATTGTTTATGAGTGACTAATTTCTTAATTATTTACAAATTTGTTTTATATTAAATAATTATACCCATCACTACCTCGAACAAGTGAGTTCCACGATTTGTTCGTTTTACGTTCTTATATTTCGCTAGATCTGGTCAAACCCATCACTATTCCGAACAAGTGAGTTTCACGATTTGTTTGTTTTTCGTTCTTATATTTCGCTAGTTGCTTTGGGGTCCCTGGCACCCCGGATGGTATAATATTGGTATGCAGAGATATTCACCGGCGTATGGGGTCCTTAATACCCCAATATGATATCAGGTCCGTACGCAGAGATAATTACTTGTGCTTTGGGGTCCCTGGCACCCCGGATGGTATAATATTGGTATGCAGAGATACTCACCGGCATTTCGGGCTTCCTGGCACCCCTGGATAATATCAGGTCCGTATGAAGAGGGCACAACCAGTATAATTTTATTTTCAGAGTTTATTTAAATTACTTCATTTATTTCTTTTTGCTTATTAAATAAGCTTAATGAAGGGAAATAACATTTATGATTGTATCCCTCTTCTGGGTCTCAGCCGAGGACCGCTTTTATTTTACCTTTTCTAATTATTTATATAATTTTATCCTCCATTATAGGCCATGGCCATCTCAGTCTCCCTTACATCCCTGCATTCCTTCCATCTCAGCATTCCTTACACCCCTGCAAAACATTAAATCCTTTTTTTTTTTTTTTTTTTTTTTTAACGTGGTGGAAATCTTCAGAAAGACACCTTCAGCCCCCCTGGGGAGGGGCCGGAGGTAGTGTGGGATTTTTACCCACTAAAACCACCACGGTGGCCTGCACTAGGGCTGTAGGGAGGGTCCTTTAACCCCCCGCCATGTGCCAAACTCTGCCGAAATCGGGGGCCACACCCGATGCCGGCACTCCTCGGGCCGCCTGCAGTGGAGACTGGGGCCCCAGCCCCAGACCCCTGCGGCATTTTTTACATCCCTCGTTCCGTTACATCTCCATCCCTTACACTTCTGCACTTCTTTCATTCCTACATTCCTTACATCCCTTCATTCTTTAACTCCCTATATTCTTGTCATCCATTAAATATCTACATTATTATCATCCCTACAATGCTTACATGTCTTCATCCCTTACACCCTTACATTCTTTTCATCCCTACATTCTTTTCATCCCTACAATCCTTACATCTCTTCATCCCTTACATCCCTACATTCTTTCGT